TTTGGCTGGGCTTGTTGGCGTTGCTGGGCTTGGTTCTTGTGGGTGCTTTTGCTGTTTGGGCGCTCTTGTGGGCGCTTTTGCTGGGCTTGTGGCGGTGGGTGTTTGTAGGCGCTTTTGCCGGGCTTGTGGGCGCTTGTGGGCTCTCTTGGGGTTGTGGGCGCTTTCGCTGGGCTTGCAGGCGGCTTGTGGGCGCTTGTGGGCTCTCTTGGGGTTGTGGGCGCTTTCGCTGGGCTTGTGCGAGCGCTTGCGCGCTCTTGCTGGTGGACGATGCCTCAAAAAAAGTCAACTGCTTCAAGACGATGAGGGTTCCTCCGGACGATCGCAAACCTAGGCCCAAAGCAAATGTGTCTGAGCTTTTGGTAAAAGACGCCCTGCTTACCCTTGTCGGTGGGCTTGTGGGCGTTTTTGCTGGGCTTGTGGGCGCTTATTGACTTATAACGCTTGTGGGCGCTTTTGTGGGCTGCTAAGAGCTTTTGCTGGGCTTGTGGGCGCTTGGGCGCTTGTGCGCGCTCTTGCTGGGCTTGTGGGCGCTTTTGCTTTTTGCTGGGCTTGTGGGCGCTTGTGGGCGCTTTTGCTGGGCTGGCCCTTGTGGGCACTTTTGGGCGCTCGTGGGCTCTTGCTGGGCTTGTGGGCGCTTTTGCTTTGTTGCTCTTTCTGGGTTTGTGGGCATTGTGGGCGCTTGTGGGCGCTTGTGGGCGCTTGTGGGCGCCGGTTTTTGGGGCGCTCTTGCTGGGCTTGGTTGGCGCTCGTTTTGGGGGGCTCATGGGTGCTCTGTTTGTGGGCGGGGTTGCGGGTGTGGGCTTGTAGCTCTTGGCTTGGTGGGTGGTGTTGCGGGCGCCGCGCTTTTCATGGGCTTGTGGGTGCTAGTGGGCACACGCTGGTTTGCTTCCATGTGGGCGCATGTGGGCGCTTGCTTGTGGGCGGAAGTGCTGCGGGGCTTTCTGGCGGGCGCGTGAGCGCATGGGCGCATGTGGGCGCTTCTGGGCGGATGTGGTGAGTGCTTGTGGGCGCTTGTGGGCGCAGGTGCTTTCTTGATGAAGTGTTGTGCTGCGGGTTGTGAACGCATACAAGCGCTTGGAAGAAGTGGCTCTTTGATGGGTGCTTGTGAGCGCACGTGGGCTTGTGGGCGCTTGTGGGCGCCAGTCAGTCTGGGTGGGTCATGAACGCATGCGGGTGGAAGTCTTGGCGGTGTGGGCGGTAGCGTTGCGGGCGCTCCAGTCATGGGTGTATGAGGGCGCATGTGGGGCTGAACTGTTTTTGCGGGCGGTTTGCGCCCTTGGGCGGTTTTAGCTGCCATGGACACTTTCAGTCGGCGGTGCGGGTACTGGCACTTGCGGTTGCTTCTCGGCGGCGTTTTTGGGGGTCGCCTTCATGCGCATGTGGGCGCTTGTTGGGCGGCAGTGTTTAATGCCTTTCATGGGCGCATGTGTGCGCTTGTGGGCGCTCTTTTGCGGGTCTTGTGGGCGCACGTGGGCGCTTGTGGGTGGAAGTGTTGCGTGCGTTCTCCACGAGTGTGCATGTGGGAACTTGTGGGCGCTCAGCTTACGTTCGGATGTTTAGATGTTGCAGTCATCAGTACAAGAGTAAATGGCGTCGGCATGTTCTTGAGACGCGCTGAGCCAGCGTCGACTTTGGGCGCTTGGGCAGGTTTGGGATCTGGGTGTGTTTTTTTTTGTGTTTTTCCGGTGTTTTCCCGTGGCTTCAAGTTTTTTTCTGGAGGGCAGAGGGCCCCCACAAGCCAAGGCCCCACATGAAGTTTGCTGGTATCCAGTGCTTTGCTCCAGGATTGCGAGTTCCTCCCAGATATGTTTTGACCAGCTGGCCGGTTGAGCATGTTTTCCAAATTTATTGTGGGTGACTGAATGAATAAGGGTGTCACGGGACCCAACAGAGAAACCCGGTAACACAATTTGGGGGTCAGATTGGACGCCCCCAAGTTTTGCTTTGTGCCTTAGGCCTGGCTTAGGGAGCTGGGCGCAGAGGCTGAGTGAGGTTAGCCAGTTGTTCGATCCCGCCCCCCAAAGCACGAATTATTGTAGTGGTGACCCCAGATTAGTATACCTCTGTTTGTTAATATGGGGGTGTCCCTGGTTTTAGTGGGGATTTAAATCACACCTCATATTAATAAGCAGGGGTTTATTAATCCGGAGTCAACATCATTAGGAACCCAGTTCATTGCAGGCTGTAACAGGAGCCCAGTTGTTGAGCACTTGTTCGCTAACAGAAGTAAGTAGTCCCCAAACAGTTCAATGAATTTATTATTCTACCTCTCGGTCACTGGTGTCCTTTTGAACAGCAAGGGTTGATGGGCGACTTGCACTCACACGGCACGGTTTCCAGGGCCTTGCCATGAGGTGTGGGAGATCACCGAGAGGGGCAGGCAGATAGCCAACCTGCCGGCTGCCAACCTCAGAAATCCGGTCGATGCATTGAGTGAACTCAGTCGCCTACGGTTCCACTTGGTAGCACATAGTTGGTGGCTTGGATTGGTGATTTGTATTTGGATTTGAACCCCCGGTGCTGTAACCTCCAATCTACCAGTTAGAGGGAAGCTGAGTTTGAGTCTAACTTTGATTATTTTGTTTCTCGATTTGTAAGTCGGATGTGTGAGACATAGGGAGCCTCTCCAAGGTTGGTGTGCTTTTGACTCCGACGCAGAAGGGTGCCCAGTTTTGACAGACGTGAAACTTACTGAGGCGTTCTTCCCTTGTTAGCCGATGCTGGGCGCGACCAGCCTGTGTGGCGGATGAGCTGTTTTTCCTGTTGAGGGTTTTACCATGTGGACACACACACACATGTTGCACCGGCTTTCATGTTGCACCGGCTTTTGCCTTGGACATATTTGATTCCCCGCCATTGGATGCTGCCGGGCTAGCATCCATGTGCTGTTGTTGCTCATGTTTGCGGCTCTGAACACGAGAAACGGACACGACCCAGGCTTCCCTGCAACCCGGTTTGCGCACACGCTCTTTCCACTTTGTCAATTTGAGCAATTGGATCATGGGTGTTCTTTCTGAGGTCCACCCGCGCATTGGGTCGCCCTGGCGTACTTGCATGCCTTGTGCGCGATGACAGACAAATGTGCAAGCCAGGAGCCGCGACAGCGGTTCATTTGAGCAGCCTTCTGTTTGTTTCCGATAAGGATTTTAGCTTCTGGGAACTCCCAAAGGGTCCGCGAAGGCACTTGTGTGATACGTTGTGCCACGAAGGCTCGCGAAGCCTCTCGCAAAGGCCCCGCAGTTTGAGGCAGGCCCCGAAGGCTGGCTGAAAGGTGATTGTCTATATAGCTAACAGCACATCCGCGAAGCTACTCCGCGAAGCCACCATCTTGTTGCGAAGGCAACCTTTCCACAAATTCTGGCCCTGCGAAGCTCCCAGCAGAAAGCTCCCAGCATAGGCTCCCCTGCAGTGTATAAGCTCCGAAGACCTGAAGAAATTGTTCCAAGGCAATACGGTGTTGCCCTTAATCCTGTTGCGACCTTGAAAGTAACAGGCAAGCCGTTCTCGCATTTGGCATTCCGGCTGGGGGCGGGGGGTGTTTTGTCAACACCCACACACACACACATACACGCGCGCTTACAGCTTGCGGGTGGGGGGGAGGGGTTTGGCCTGTAGGTTTGTGTTTGTCCAAACATGGGGTATGTCGCCTCCCTATTGTTCTTATATGTTTTTGTTGGCGTTTGAATCAACGGGAGGCAAAAGAGGGGTCACTTATGAATGAGTTGGGGGAGTTGTTTTTGGCGCCAGGCATATGGTCCTGCAGGCACAGGCGGTGTCCCAGAGCTTTGCACGGGACGCCTGCGCGCGGAGCTTAAGGGGCCGGGGGCATGTGTCCTTTGTCTGAGCAAAAGGGAAAGCGAAAGACCACGGGAATCCAGAGCCATTTCGGGCGCACCTGTTGAAAAAGCGGAAAAACAAACTGGTAATTATTTCGCTCAACAGAGCCGGGCAAGTTGCAATGACGTGTGGCCCGAGTTCCCAAACACCTCAAAGAGCTATGCTTCTACCCTGGACAGGTTCAGGTTCAGGTGCAAATGCAAAAACGATCTCCTTTTTAGGGTTGGTTTGAAGGGACACCAGCGGGACATCAGCTTTTTCGGGCTCCCCTATTCTGACGCATGCCGTACTTTGCTCTTTCGCAGCTGTCTGATTTGTACATCGGCCGCTTGCGTTGTTTTTTGGGCTTCATCAGTATGAGGCCAAGGGAGCTTCGAGGGACCAGATGTCATAAAGTGCATTCGCGGTGATTTTTCTTCTCCGATTGCTAGAGGTTTAGGGGTTACCCACCAGAGCTCACCTGAATTACTTGGCGTTCCAATCTTTATTTACGTACGTGTCAAAATAGGGGAGTCAAAAATGGTTTCATGGGTTTCCCTTTTAAACCAACCTAAAAGGGCACCTGAAACAAAGCACACGCACTGGGACATCATCATCTGCTGAGGGGAAGGCCGTCCTTTTTGCAATGCAAACCGCGAAAAAAAAACATGGCACTCCCGCTTTCACAACCTTTTCCCTGGGATCCCATGGCTTCCGCACCAATCCTCACTCCCGAAAAGAAATATGGATCCCTCGTTCTACCTTTTCAGACAGGGCCAACGCAGGGCGGCGTCCCTTCTGCGTCCCCTGAGCCCCAGCTGCGCCGGTTGCGACATTGTTCCAAGAATGTAAGCAGATGGCAGCGCGGAGTGAGTCGACTTGCTGGTTCGATTGGGGAATGTGGGGAAAAACAACTGCACCATCCCGTATTGTGTTGTAGCGGATCCACGACGGGTGCATTCCCGAAGCCCTTGAACTGCCCTCAGAAGCAAGTCAGTGTCCAACTTATGGGAGACAGATACCTTTTGTGAGTAAGCCATTTGAACCAGCAGGGGTAATAAAGTGACATTAATGTTTGTAATGCGTGTGAAAAAGCGAATGTGTCGCCGTGTTACCATTTTCTTGAGCCCTCCCCCCCTGAAGTTGCCTCTGGATCTTAGCGATGAAACGCTCCGCCCGCCCGCAGATCAATTTTGTCAAACAACCCCCGGGTTTTAAGCCGGACAGCGACGAGCCATCGCCATGTCCGGCCAGAATCAGGCGCGGCACCTCCACGTGAGAAGGGTCAGAAGTTTCGGATGGGCTCGGGGACCTTAAAGTGAGCATGTTGTGGGGCTGTCTTTTCTTTTGAGGGCGGTTTCCCTCTACACCACCATCTGAAGCCGGACTTTCATGATGTGACTCTAACGGACCTAGTTAAGCCCAAAGAGGCCTGAATTTCTTCTGTTGTGTTTTCTTGATTGTTTTGTTTGGTGGTTTGGATGCTAGGCAATACATAGATGCAGAAAACAGACAACGTGTAGTAGCTCGATTATGCCAAGTTTGGTCGTCTTGTTACTTAGTTAGTCACTTGGTTAGATATTTGGCTTGTTTGTTTGCTTGCTTGCTTGCTTGTTTGTCCGCCCGTCCGTCCGTCCGAGTCCGCCCGTCCGTTTGCTTGTTTGCCTATCCGTATTATCTTTGTTTAATGCATCTTGATTTTTGTGTTCCTTTGTTTCTTCGTTTGTTCTTTGCCTGTTGCAACTTTTGACTCAGGGTTTGCTCTTTGATCCTTTTCACAAGTCACAGGACTGCCGCTGCTTGTATCCCCTTTAAAAGGTTCAAGGTGGCACCAGGGTCCAACCAAGGGGCGACCTTTTGACAAGCCTCCATGTCGGGATATTTATGACAACCCGCAGAGGTGTAAACAGTGATTGATTGATGCCTTCCTTTTGCAGGAACCAGCTTGTGATGGTTTCACGCATTGTGCCATGGTCACTTGTGAGAACGTTTCCGTATGGCTCCGCAGCTTCGACTTGTGAGGCGAGCCTGATGGCCTCGGCCGCAATGACCGAAGCAGGCGTGGAGTGAGCTCACGTCAACATCTGTTCTTATGAGCAGGGCTCAGTGTTTGCTGTCATCTACCGGAGTAAACGTGGGGCATAGTCAAACTCCAATGTCGTTTGGGGGACACAATCGATATTTTGTGACTGTGGCTCTATGGTGCCTTTGGGAGGCAGTCACAAAAGTTTCTCACGAAATCCTGCGGGACTAGCTTTCCCATGGCACGCCACGCGCGCACGTGCACACTTCTGTTTCTTTTAATGCAGAGAGGTTTAGTGATATCAAACCAATAGAAGCAAAGCCAGCGTTGAAATGTTGTTTAAACCTGCGCCTTTGTTTGCGGGTTTGGTTGGGGGGGGGTATTTCGGGAGCTCAGCTCTTGCCATGCCAGGTCTTGCTTTTGTCGCCCAGCCATCATCCATGCCCCAGATTCGCCGTCCTACACACTCCAGCCCGGAGCTC